GGGGGGGGGGGGGGGGGGGGGGGGAGGGTATACTAAGGTATCAATTACCAAAATAGCGAGATTTTTTACCATCTTTTCATGGAACCTTATTTTAGGGGAAAACTGAGCTGTCATGGAATCTAGCAAAATGGTTATTAGTGTCTAAAGTATAACACAACTTCATATTACCTTGGTGTTGTTGCCATTTTAGAGACTGGCCAATTAAAGCCATTAATCGAGAAGGTGCAACCACAGTAACTTCAGCTGCAAGGGCTGTAAAATGCAAATAGGAACATAACCAACACACATTCAGCAGCAGTTACACAAGTACTCGTGTATGAGCAACCAAAAATGACATAAAAACTCAACATACATCCAACAATTTAAAATAGAAAAAAATATCCAAATTTTACCCATTTTTTCTGATATAATACATGGAACCTGTTCCTTAGATCTTCTCATGTCTTAAAAATGAAACTTTGATTGAGTCCTTGATGAAAAACCTATCCTAGAGGAAGAGATAAAAGGTTACAAGAACAGCTAGCATTTTTAAAATCTAATAAAAGAATGAATGGAACAGTATTTACTAGAAAATACTAAAGGCTCGAAGGGGAAAATCCCAATTAGTCTTACCAAGAAGCCCCACAATAGGTAAAAGAATGTTTAATGCCACCAGATGTTGTCACTAATCTTCTATTCTTTAAAGTGGTTCAATAAAGTATCAGTTAGTGAGTAATATTTCCCATTCAACTTCTTAATTTTGGAAAATCAACAGTACTTTCTGTGTATATATGAAACTAACATGGGCCATTAGGATTTGATTGTACATGACACTATTATTATCCATGTGTCATCAAATTTTACTTTACCGATAATTAAGTGAAATCATTGAATTCTTGAGCATGACAAGATTAAGGGCACCCAGAAGATGAAGAAATGAAATATGGGTGAAGTTGAAAACCTTGTGCAATTTGCGCTCGGCATTTCTCTTTTGTTGAATCTTGATAAGCCTGTCATAATAACTAATTAACGTCTTAAGCATAAAACGAACCATCTCAATTGTGTGTGTGTGTGTGTGTGTGAAGCATAGCCCCTAACTATCTAGCCCCCTTTATTAAATAGGGAAACATTTCCAGGATTGACTTATAGATAACAAATTAACCCGAGGTGTAGAGAAACAAAAATTTAACACTCAATAAAGCATTTAACACATTTGAGCAGACCCATGCAGTACAAATTTGAATGAGTTATATTAGCATGGACACACGTGGGTGTCAATTTCAAACATTTTTTCTGGAAAAAGATAGGAGGGTCTTTAGAGATGGGGACAGCTCTTGGAGGAGGTTTGGGCCTTGGTTAATAAGGACTTTTGTGATTACAAATCTCTCGTTCTTTTGAGATGAAGTTCATTTTTGTAATTGTGTACCTTGATAGTTTTTACTCCTTGTTTTTGGCTCCTTTTGTTCTAGGCTAACCTTATTGTCCTTGTATATTTAGGGATGTTTTTTTCCCTGCAAGGACCCGCCCCTATAAGGTTGGGGGATGGGAGAGGAAGTGAGAATAAATTTTTTTACGTTAGCTAAATGAGAGCATTCCTTGTCCCTGTTCCATTTATATACAAGATACCGCAGATTTAAATGTTTATGAAATATTATTTTATTTTTATTAGCATATCAAGATTTTCTATTTGAATGGATTTCTCATTGGAAATTAACCATCAAAATGAAGATTTTCCAAACTAATTTATTTTATTGATCAATATTTAAAGAAATAAACTAAACTAAACTAAACTAAA